GGTCGCTCGGGACGCGGCACACCGCAAACTGCACGTTGTGCTTGCGCAGCTGCGCGACGAGCTCCGCGTCGCCGCCGGGAAAGACCTGGACCTGGTGGTCGCCCTTGTCGTCAAAGGCGACCACCTTGGTCCCGTCCTCCGAGAAGGCCACCTTGGCCACCTCGTCCGCGTTGACGCGGTCGAGCAGCGTCGAGTACGGCCACGGCTCGGCCGCAGACGCGGCCTGGACGCCGACGGTGGCCGCGATGGCCGCTGCGAGATGGGAAGGGGGAGCGGCGGTGAGCGGGCCGCGAGCGTCCGGGCGGGCGGGAGGGGGGCGGGCGCGCGGCGCGGCGCGGCGCGCAAGCGTGAAGAGGTGGGCTGCGCTACCCCCGATTCCCTAACGAGAGGCTGCGGCGCGGCGCGGCCGGCGCGCCTGCTGCGAGCCCGTTCCGGAGGTCGGAGGCGGCGCTCATGACGACGGGCTGGGGCGCCCGCAGGCCCGGCCGGTGCACCACCGGCGTGGCGCCGCCGAACGCGAGCGCGGCCGAAGAGAAGGCGAGGGTGGCCATTTACAAGCGATGGCGAGGGACAATGTTGAGCTTTCGCGGAAGTTTGCTTCGGCAGAAAAAATTTTCGCCGGTGGAGCGTGTCGGCGAGGGAGCCGAGCCCGCCGAGGAAGTCCGCGTGGCTCGTGGCGATGGATGCGCCAGACCCGCTTTGCGCCGCCGCCCTCAACGCCCGATACTCGATCATATGCGCGTCATCTTCAAACACCCCCCCCCTCGCACCTAGCCGCCCCCATTCTCGCAAGACGTGTGAGCATGAGGGGGGTGGTGGTACCCCCCTACAGGTGCCCCTGGCCAGGCCTCTGACCGAGAGGGGGGTACACCTCGCGGGAGCCAAGACTGCTCGACCGACAGGGGGGTGCCTGCCCAAGACCCAGGTAAAACCCGGGTATACCCGAGAAAGTCCAGGTTTACCCGAAAAATACCTGGACGCGCGTCCACATGCCGCAGCACGCCATACTCCCAGGGCCCCTGTGCCAACTGCGGCGCGCACCGCCTGCTCATGATGCGACGGGTCAAAGCAGAAGAAGCTGCGGCCACCCTCCGCGTCCTCGCCCTCGCCCTCGCTCACAGTGACGACTCGCGCCTTGGGATGCAGACGATCTTAAGTGATCTCGGGCGATCTCGGGTGATCTCGGCGATCTCGGCGATCTCGGGCGACCTCGGGCGACCTCGGGCGACCTAGGGCGATCTTGGGCGATCTCGGGCGATCTCGGGCGACCTTGGGTGGTCTCGGGCGACCCCGGGTGGTCTCGGGTGACCCCGGGCAGTCTCAGGCGATCTCGGGCGATCTCGGGCAATCTCGGGCGATCTCGGGCGATCTCGGGCGGTCTCAGCGATCTCGAGTGATCTCGGGCGGTCTTGGGCGATCTCGGTCCGTCACCTTTGGGTGCAGCACCGCCGACAGGGCAGCCGCTACATCCTCACATGTCGAGGAAAGCGACAGGCCGGAGAGGAAGTGCGTCGCTGCCGCACCCGCGTCCATCTGCGCGTTGGTCGTGATGATCAGCCGGTAGCCGCTCGCGGTGATCATGTCGTGAGTCTCTGCCTTCATGGCAAGGTCGTAGGCCTGGCTGTCAAAGGCCCCGTTCTCCTCGCGAAAGCGCAGCCGCTTGCCCTCCACCTCCCCTTGCGTGATGATCTGCAGCATCTTATTCTTGCGGTACAGGTTGTCGAGCTGCCAGTTGGACTTGTCGTCACGGTTGTTGACGTCGACGAGGTCGGCGTTCAGCATGCCAATGCTCTCGACCTCCTTCACTCCCTTGTTGAGCTGGTGACCGTTGGGCTGCTCCACCTGCCACAAGCAAGGACGGGGCAAGGCCTTGAAGCATCTCAAAAGTGTTCCGGAAGTGTCTCGGAAGCGTCTCGGAAGCGTCTCGGAAGTCTTGGAAGAGTCACGGAGGGTGGTGGTCGGCTGTCTGGGGAAGCGCATGAGGTGGCGCACGAGGTGGCCGCGAGAATTGCGGCAGGTGCTAGGGTGACGGGCTGTCGGAAGGGTTGCGGTTCACGCCTCCGTCGGTAGCAGCAGCTTGAGCACCTTGCTGTTGCTCACGTTCAGCTGGCCCTTTTCGTCATCGATCTTGGGCTGCAGCGAGCGGTCTGAACGGCGCTTGTGCTTCTTCAGGACCGAGACAGAGGCCGGGATAGTCTCACAGCCCAACTTTTTCATGTGCTCGGGGTCTTGCAGCAGCTCGGCGATGCGCGACCACGTAGACTTGCCCATGTAGATCGTGGCGGCCTGGCGGTCGCTCGACGCTCGCCCACCAAGCTCTTGGATGGTGCTCTCAACAGCACGCTTGAAGTCTGGGTACTCGATGTGGATCGCTCCATTATGGCCCCGCGGCAGGTGCTTGAGCTCATCCAGCGAGGATGCCATCTCACGCCAGCGCCGAGCAAAGAAGACAGGGTAGTCGTGGTGTTCTGGGTCGCGCAGCGCTGCTTTGCGAGAGGCGGCGGTGACCTCCGTCTCCAATTCTCGAATTATCGATTCCGCCTTGCCGATCTGCTTCGCAACTATGAGCTGCTCGCTAGAAATACTTGCACGGCGAAGTGCATCGCCTCGCTCGCTAGCGAGCGTGTTCTCCAGCTCCTCCGTGAGCTTGGGCAATCGCTGCAGTGCGGTGTCGACTCGGCTCACAGCTAGCTCGATACGACTGAGCGAGACAGGCTGCGCCCGCGCGAGCACGCGCTTGCTGGTGACGTGCGAGATCGCAGCAATCAGCACTGCCTTCGCCTCTGTCGATGGCATCATCGCCTCGAGCTCTTCCAGTGGAAGGGAGGTGACTCGCGAGAGCTGCTGATTGAGTAGACTAGCCTGATGCGCGCCGAGAATGGTCCACATCGCCACAATAGGCGGGAGGTCGGCGGGTCGTGGCACCAGGAAGCGTTCGCCACTCTCAAGCCGTGCGCCAAGCTGCTGCTGCCCGGCACCCGTGGACATGAGGATGATGGGTGCCGAGCGCGCCACCTTTTTCACGAGCAGAAACTTCAAGTTGTCAAGCGATGCCGCCGGCCACTCATCCTGGTGGTAGATGTTGAGCGCGTCGGATAGCGAGAGCCCGCCCCGCGCGGTGAGCAGCGCGTCGCAGATGCGCAGCACGCCAGGTAGCGTGTCCTCGTGAATGCCTGACCAAGGCTGCGCCCGCACTTGCCCTCGCTGCAGCCCGCCGTGACCGCAGTGCGGACGAGTCGTACGCCCCGAGCTCCTCGAGGACCGACACGACCTTTGCGGCGTTGCAGCGCTCGCGAAGGCTCGGGTGTGCAGCCAGCAGCACAGTGTTGACCAGCGCCTCCATGGGTGCTGCTCGCGTAGTGTCACGTGTCAGGATGAATGCAAAAAGGGTGCAAATCCTGCACACTGCACACATCGACTACATCCACAGCAAGTCGCCATGCCGCCCTCGGGAGAGTGCCCTCAGCCACGCGTCCGCAAGGTGTACGTCCGCGCGCACAAGCGCAAGGTCGCCGCCACGAAGAACCCCCTCGACGAGCCGGTCGTGCCGCCGCTGACGCGCCGCCAAGCCCGAGACCTCCCGGCCCACATGGTGACCAAGTACAAGGAGGATGCGCTCAAGCGCCTGATGGCCCTCTCACCAGAGAGCGAGCATGGGACACTTCACAAATTCTTCTCGCGCATGCCGAAGCCGAGCCCGGCTCCCGTCAACGGCGTAGTTGCCGCTGCGTCGTCCTCGACCGCTCCGGTCAACGCCGGCGGCAAGAAACGGGCGCGTGTTACCGCGCCGCCCGTCACGCCGGAGGGACTGACGCCGTCGCGCCGCAACGGCGTGAATGCGGCGATCCTCTGCTTTTCGCCCTTTGCCTAGGCGGGCCGGCTCGTCGCGCAGGCTGTGTCTGCTGAGGCTGTGCCCACACGACCCGACCCGGCTCGCGGCTGTTTATTTTGTGCGAGACTGTTAGCGCGGCGAGTGGGGGAGGGGGGCTGTGTCGGCCTAGCCGGGTGTCATTTGACAATTACAGATTTCATACACCCTCAAAACATGGCACCAACCAGAAAAGAGATCGACAATCGGCCTCGCCCGTCACTCGCGCGTCACTCTCTGCGCTCACGGCTGCAGCAGAAGCTGCTCGAGCTCGGCGCGCACCCACGCGCACGTCGCTCGCTCGCTAGGCAGGGCGTGCGTACACGCGCTGACCACACCTGCAAGCCGGCTTTCATCGGGCACACACGGGCGGGTGAAGCCGTTCGCGACGATTGCGTCGAGCTCGTGTCGGAGGCGCGAGTCGCACTTGCCTGGCGCGTCGCCCGTGGCGAAGTGGTACGGGTCGCAGACGCCCGACGGCGCCTCGAGCGCAGCCAGGACACACCCTAGCGACCAGGCGTCGGTGCCACGCGAAAGCGGCACGACTGCAAAGTCGCGGGCCACCCGCACCTGCTCGGGCGCCCGCCAACCCGGCGTGCCTGAGTGCGAGAGCTGCGCCCCAACGGCTAGTCGCCTCGCCTGCCCAAAGTCACACAGCTTAGCGACAAGCCCCTCAGAGCGCGCCGACAGCAGCACGTTCGATGGCTTGAGGTCAAGGTGCACGATGGGGGGAGATCGCGTGTGCAGGTACGACATTGCTCTTGCAATCTGCACGCCGAGGGAGCGGCTCTCGCCCCTCTGATCCCCGATCAACAAATCTCCCAGAGTCCCTGCGTCGGCATAGTCGAGAGCGAGGAACGGCGTCTCGCGCGGGGCGCATGCAAAGCCCATCACATAGATGATGTTCTCATGGTGTAGTGCTGCCGCGATCTGACACTCGGAGGCGAAGGCGCTGCTCGCGCGCAGCGGCTGCTTCACCGCGAGACGACCACCGTAGTGGCGGCCAAGCCTAACGGTGCCTTGGCCGCCCTTGCCGAGGCGACCCTGGCTGCTGCCAAAGGCGATGTCGCGCAGGGCGAGGCCGCCGTACCGGCTCGCGGTCGGCGCCAAAGGCGGGATCGGAGCGACGAGGCGAGGAGCAATTGTAGGTGGAAGAGCGGCGAGGGGCGGCGGAAGTGCCAAGCTCGGCTGCCTCGCGACGAGCAGGTGGCCCCTGCCGTGCTGGCCGAGGGCCCGTGGCCGAGGGACGGTAGACGGAATCGGGACGGTAGACGGAATCGGGACGGCAGGAGCAGCGTCAGGCACCGCGAGGGCGGCGGCCTCCGCTCTCGCGTTCTTGAGTCTGCGTCTGTACTCGACCTTCTCGGCCCTGCGGTCACGGCCCCGATCGCCCCTATCATCCGGATTGGCGCGTCTATACACGGCCTCAGCGCGTGCCTGCGCCGCGGATCGCTCCCTTTTCGGCATGTCGTTGCATGTCCAGAACCCAGTGTCGAGAGCGAAGGCGCGAGTGGTGACACGCCCGCAACCTTTGAGCACCTGCGTCCCCCACCAGACATAAATCGTCCCCCACCAGACATCGAAGTCAAATGTCAAAGACACCTCTAGGGACTGGCAAAGTGGGCTGCCACACTCACAAAGATGCAGAAAAAGGGGACACCGGCGTGACGTGGCCTCTCGACGGGTTTGTTGGAGAGCAGAATTTCGTTCGGTGCACGAACGAGCGAGCATGCACACACGAAATAAATGAATGTTTGCCGCGTGGGTACAGACGCAATTTAGTGGGTTCACGGAGGGTTAAGCGGGAGGATTGAATTCGTATCTCAGGGCAACCTTTTAGTGTACTAGTATCTAGACTAGAGAGCCGTATAGTGACCGGCGCGCAGCGCCGAAGAAAATTTTGGCAGAAATCGCTTACAGAAATCGGCTGCTGGCTCGCCCGATTTCCCTCGCCGAAACAGAAATCGGCTGCTGGATGCCGACGCCCCGATTTCTATCGCCACGCCTCGCACTGTATCAGAGCCGGCGGAGCGACGGCGGCAGAGTCACTTTTGGTTGTTTTCAGCCGCGGCCCGCGGCGAGAGAGGTGCCCGCTCCCAGCACACACCCACACCCACAAAACACACGACCCGCCTGCACCCTCCCACGCACTGCCATTCTCGCGTGCAGGAGGCGGTCCTGACCGCGAACAGAATTTCAACATTCTCTCATGTGCGGGCGGACCCTCACAGATCACAGATCACATTCTCTCATGGTCATGCGCCGGACGATCCCGCCGCAGCGCCGTGCCCAAAGTCGCCCTCGAACTCCTCGCGGTCGCGCTTGCGCGCCGCGCCGTCCGGGCCGTAAGAGCCGAGCCTGATGTTGACCCGCTCTAGCCAGCCAAGAAGGCCAACCTTGTGTTCGAGAGCGAAGCGCTTGTAGGCAAGAATCCGGTCCACGGTATTGTACCAGCGCATCTTTGCGGGAGGGAGGCGGAGGACGGTGGTGGCGGGTGGGAAGGCGCCGAAGCCGATGGTGGCGGTGGTTGGCACGGTGACGCGGGTCAGCGAGGAGCAGGCGTTGAAGGCGAAGTCGCCGATGGAGGTGAGGCCAGCGGGGAAGGTGACGGAGGCGAGGGCGGAGCAGCCAGAGAAGGCGCAGTCGCCGATGGAGACGAGGGTGGCGGGGAAGGCGACGCGGGCGAGGGCCTCGCAGTCGTAGAAGGCGCGCATGCCGATGGAGGTGAGGGCAGCGGGGAGGTCGATGGAGACGAGGGAGGCGCAGCCCCCGAAGGCGCCCCAGCCGATGGAGGTGGGGCTGGCAGGAAGGTCGACGGAGACGAGCGAGGAACAGCCGAAGAAGGCTCCGTCGCCGATGGAGACGAGGCTGCTCGGGCAGGCGACCGAGACGAGAGAGGTGCGGCCTTGGAACGCCCAAGGCAGGTGCGTCATGCCTTCAGGCAGCACCGCGTGCCCGTCGGCGACGACGACCTGCCACCCGCCCACGTCCAAAGTCTCGGAGCCGGGAGGCGGCGCGGTGCCGCTCGGTGGCGGCGCTGAAGGCGTCGAGGCGGGCACCATCAAAGAATTTTCGTAAGCCCCCTTGTGAGGCGGGCACCATCAAAGTAGGAAGCCGACGCCTGCGCCTTGTCTGTGAATCGTGCGTGTGCCTTTTTTGCTCGTAGCCGCCCGTCCCCCGCCGCCCGCCCGCACGCACACTCGCGCTCCGCTCGCGCCCGCTCACTGCCGCTCCCCCCCCCCCCCCACACACACACACTCGCAGCGGCCATCCGGCACCCAAGGCCAAAAAAGAAAACAATGGGCAGGTCATACGTGCGTCCCTCCTCCTCAAGGAGTGCCTCTGTATTCGTGCGTCGCCCATCTCTCCTGGAGATGACTGCTATATTTATTTTTTATACACTCTCTGGGCACGGGACTGGCGCGCACTGGCACTATAACACACAGGTACACCACGGGAGCCGCCGGCGCGGCACCCATGGCCCGCGCGGGGTGACGGTCTCTCTGAATCCACCGCGTGGCGACCAGTGCTCGAACTTGACCGGTATGGGAGTTTTTGGCTAATCAAACCCTAGGCCTGCACTAATGTCTAATCAAAACGTGGTATGGGAAACCACCTGCCTCACGGAAACCAAAGCGAGTCCGAGTGCATTTTTGCGGCTAAATCGGCGAAATCGGCAAAATACCCGGTATTTTGCGGGTACCGCGTCCGGCGACGGCATCGATGTGCTCATGCTGTCCGCACGAGCGTGACTCGCCACTCCACGACCTCCACGACCCTCCACGGCCCTCCACGACCCACTCTGCACTCACTCTGCCCCAAACCTAAATCCTCTCATTAGTTACATACATACCTGCAACACTGCCGCCGTGTACGTCACCATCGCCTCTCTTCATCGCCGATCTCGCCGACGCCGCTCGCCGCTCGCCGCCGCCCTGCCCTGCCCCGCCTAGCCCTCGCACAAACAAACAAACACACACACACACACACACACACACACACACACAGACAGACACACATACAGACACACAAAACACACCAACCTCGAGCGCCCCGCGCCCTCCCGCCCAACGCCCTGCGCCTCACGCCGCGCGTCCCACGCACGCCCCGCGCCCCGCGCCCCCTCACCTTGCGCCTCACGCCTCCCTCCCCACCCTCTCAGGCATTTCTCCTCCCTGCTGCTCGCCGACTCCTCCTCCCCCCGCATGACCGACGACTACCCGTCCTTCGGCGACTCCTCCCTCTTCGGCGCCAACGTCTACTACCCGTTCGCGGCCCGGTGAGGGGCGGGAGCGCAGCCATTCCAACGGCTGGGAAAGTTTCTGAACGGCCGCGCATGCGCCTGCATGCCGGCTTACTAAGGAGGTCCCTCGCTCCGGCTCCTCTCTCGGAAGACGCGCGCCGGCCTGGGGGACTCGCTTGCGATCCCGCTCCAGCCAGAGGCCGCGTGAGGCGTGTGGGACGGTGTACGCTGGGGCTTGGCCCCAAGTGCACTGGCCTCGCGTCTCGAGGGGAGGGCGGCTCGTAACTGAGGTTCGCCGTCAGGGACAGTCGTCCTCGCTCCCCTCCTCGGCCATTCCAACGGCCAGGCCGCTCGCTTAAGGCTGATTGGCTAGACGAGCGGCCTACCTCCAACGGGGCAGTCTGCTCACGCGTGGAACCTGCCCGCCTCGGTGGGAGGTGGTTTGGCGCCGACAGACAGTGGAGGTCTAAGCCGAACCCGCCGGGCCGCTGGCGGGGTGACGGTAGACCACCACTGCAGACAGCCCTTCCCGACGGGGACGCCATCACCCTCGCCCAGGGATCTACAACGCTGTCTCAAGGTCCGACAGGTTCGGCACCGGGCACCGCCTCGGTATACAAAATGCGCCTGCGGGCGGACCCTCACAGATCACAGATCACATACCTGCAAAAACCCAGGTATACCCGGGTAATACCCGCACTTTTGCATGGCTTCGCCTCCTGGGACCACACCCACAGCCGCTACACTAATCAACACTCCGCATACCACTTTCGCATACCACTATACCATACCACTTCAAAGTTAATCAAAATATCACCAAATACCGGTCTCATACCGGTAAAGTTCGAGCACTGCGGGTGGCGACAAATCTCAATCAACCGGCCCAACACTCCTCAATCCACCAGCCGAACACTACCATGCACGTGGAGACGCAAGGGTCGCCCCCCCTTGCCCCACCACCTCGTGTGTGTGGAGAAGTTTACCTTACCTTACCTTACTTACTACCATGCAAAAAGAATCTTAATTTCCACCCAACGTGGACCTCCAGCGGCCTATCTCCTCGTCGTCGCGGACTGGGTGAAGGTGTTGAGCCGCCGCGGACGCGGCGCCCTTGGTTCTTCTCATCGCCAGTGCACGAGGTGTGCGAGGCCTCGAGCGCGCGAGTGAGGACATTGTGGTGCACCGCCATATCCAGCCTGTGCCAAGAAGCGCACCCAGCGGGCCAGATGATCGACATCGGGCTACGGGCAAGAGAGCCCTGGCCCCTAGGTGATGCGGTGCGCGGATTCTTTTTCTCGCGATGTCTGCCCCGCGCCGCTCGCGCCGCCTCGCCCCCGCCGCCACCGCCGCGCCCGCGCGAGACACGCCGCCGCCCACCCTCCTCGACCTCCCCTCGGAGCTCCTCGTGCGCGCCCTCTCTGACTGCCACAGCCCCCTCGACATCGCTCGCGTCGCAGCCGTCTCGCTGCTCTTCCACGCCTCGCTTGCGGTGGAGGCCATCCGCTTGCGGGCGCAGGAGCGCGGCTTCGAGCTGCCGGCGCAGCCAGAGGGCGAGAGCTGCGCCGTGCGGTGGCTGTGCTACTCCGTATTGCTGTGCGAGTCCAACCCGCCAGTGAGGGCGGCGGCAGGCTCCTCCCACAGCCTCTTCATCGACGGCGAGGGGCGGCTCTCGTCGTGCGCCAAGGCTGAGAGCCGGACGCCGGGACTACTCGGCCACGGCGAGGACGTGGCGCGGCTCAACACGCCGACCCGCCTCCCTTCGACGCTGGGCGGTCAACGTGCCGTCAGCGTGTCGGCAGGAGTTTACCATAGCATCGCCCTCTCCGCCGACGGCACCCTCTGGAGCTGGGGCCATGGAGACGGGCTGGGCCACGGCAACCAGCAGAGCCAGTCGCTGCCCGAGAAGGTCGAGGCCTTTGCTGGCCTGCGCGTCGTCGCTGTGTCTGCTGGATCCGAGCACAACCTCGCCATCACCGCCAATGGTGCCGTCTGGAGCTGGGGCTGTGGAGACTGCGGCCAGTTGGGCCACGGCGACCGGCAGGACCAGCTGCTGCCCAAGAAGGTTGAGACCTTTGCTGGCCAGCGCGTTGCCGCTGTGTCGGCTGGACGTATCCACAGCCTCGCTTTCACCGCCGACGGCGCTCTCTGGAGCTGGGGCAGTGGAGGCTACAGCAAGCTGGGCCACGGCGACGAGCAGCGCCAGCTGCTGCCCAAGAAGGTCGAGGCCTTGGCTGGCCAGCGTGTCGTCGCTGTGTCGGCAGGGAGCAGCCACAGCCTCACCCTCACCGCCGACGGCGCCCTCTGGAGCTGGGGCTATGGAGGGAGCGGCCAGTTGGGCCACGGCGACCGGCAGAACCAGCTGCTGCCCAACAAGGTCGAGGCCTTTGCTGGCCGGCGCGTCGTCGCTGTGTCGGCTGGGAGCGGCCACAGCATCGCCATCACCGCCGACGGCAGTGTTTGGAGCTGGGGCCATGGATGGTTTGGCAAGTTGGGCCACGGCGACCAGCAGAACCAGCTGTTGCCCAAGAAGGTCGAGGCCTTCGCTGGCCAGCGCGTCGTCGCTGTGTCGGTGGCAAGCGGCCACAGCCTCGCTACCACCGCCGACGGTGCCGTCTTTGCCTGGGGCAAGGGCGAATACGGCTGCCTAGGCCACGGCGAGGACCTGTCGAACCAGCTGCTGCCCAAGAAGATCGAGGCGTGGGCGCCAGGACGGTGAGAGGACGCGCGAGGCGGCGTGACCATTTGCGTGTGCGTAGACGTCTGCACGCGCCGAGAGGGGGGGGGGGGGGGGGGGGGGGGAAGGCTACTTGTTAAAACCCTCTCAGCATTCGGGGGACTCCTGCCCGTGTCCGGGTGTGCTGTGAAGATGCAAGGGTTGCCCCCCACCATGCACCAATTTGGAGTGGAGGGTGAAGGTCATTCCCTCACCCGACCCGCGGCTCCACCGCGGCTGCAGCGGTCCGCTCACCTACAGAGGGCAAAAAGGTGTAGCTTAACCAGACGAGTTGTGACGATCAGTGCTGGCGGAGGCCTGCCCTCATCGCCGCGAATGGGGTGCCAGTCTGGCAGTCACAGCGGGATCTGACGTCGCGTTCGAGGTGTGCATTGGCGGAGGGGTCGCATGGCTGAGAGAGGCAGAGGCAGCAGGCGGGTGGTGGGGCGGCACCTGTTGCTGCCATGGGCAGCGCCGAGCCGCGGCGGAGGTCGCTCCGTAGTTCTGCGTTGAGCCGCACGACGGCACGAGTGCGTCGACCCGTCGCGAGGTGCCTGCGCGGGGGTGATGTCGCGCCGATAGCTGAGTACGCGCGGCGTGAGCGGGCTTTGCGCGAAGGGGCGGCGCAAGAAGGCGAGCCGACGGGCGCGCCGGTGTTCGGGCGCGCGCGCGGCGGCTGCAGCGAGCCGGCGGCTGGCGCGGCGAAGGCGGGCAGCGTCGCGGGTGGCGCCACCGGCTCGAGGTGGGGTCCTGAGGTGGCTTCAGCCTGGTGTGCTCGAGCGGCACGCCCGCCGCGCCCGCGAACAGCCACCTGTGGGCGGTCACCGGGGTGGTGGTCAAGCGCTGCCAGGGTTGAATCCGGTGCGTCTAGTATCACTGGTAGGCTGGGTGTGCAGCAGCAGCGCTCAAAAAGAGGCAAAAAAAGCGGCTGCTACTTTGAGTGTCAGCTCTCTCGACACACCGTCCTCGGGCCCCTCGAAAAGCTGGCTGGTGGTCGCGCGCGGCGCGTCAGCGCGGCTCCGACTGATCGGGCACCTCGGCTGGGTCCATCGGCACGAGGCCAGCCCCGTCGGGGAGCCCCGCGAGCGCATGTAGCCCCACCCCATACGCTTGACGCCCCGCCCCAGATCGCGCTGTTGGGCACGAAAAGACGAGGCGCCAAGGGGGGGGGGGTCAAGTATGGTACCCTAGAAGGTCCTCATCAAGAGGTCCTCAGAGAGGCAAGAGCTCAACATCAGAGAGGTGCCAAAGCGTGTCGGCGACTCACAGCGTGCAAGCAATGAGCGCCGGCACGTTTCTGGGGCAGGCAGGCACGTGCATCACGTAGATTCAGAAGTGTTTTGTTGTTTGCGGCAAACCACGCCAGTCAAGAGAGAGAGAGAGAGAGAGGCCTCTCCGCAAGGCCCCCCGACCGCGTCGAACTCAACGGCGCGGGCTCTCTTGGCTACGGGACCGGCCCCAGCTTCGGCTGAGGGCTAACAAGCTGCCGGGCCCAAATCACTGTGAGTGTCGTGATTTCTTGTTGGTTTTCTAAAATCTCTCTCGCCAGTCAGATCCAGTGCTGGCCAGCCAACAGAGACAAAATTCCGCAATGGAGTGTGAAGATGATAGAGAGACGATATGTTTTTTAGATGTGCACTAGATGTTGTGTACCGCACACAAGCTACCATTACCTTCACTTTTGTGTTCTTCTTCACTTTTCGCCGCGCGCGCGCCCCGCGCGGGTCCCCCACGCCAACACCCACACGCCACAGGGCTGCCCCCGTGTTGGCCGAGCGTGCTTCGACCCGAGACGCGCATTCGTGGACAAAGCAGATACCAGACGTCGGTTTCCCATAGGGTTTCTGCTGCGGTTTCCCATGGCGGTTTCCCATAGCCGAAAACCCAGGGGTCGGTCGGTTTCTGCGGCGCGCTCTGTTTTTTCTGGGATCTGTTTTCTGGGACACCCGCCTCGATTTCCCGTGGGATCTGCCGTGGGTCTGGTTTCTGCGGTGTGAATACATCTCCCGCTTCGTCCTATGAGCTCATTCCGGCCAATGAACAGGTGTACCCCCGTCCGAACCCGGGGGTATCGAGCACGAAATCGCAGAGAGAAATCACATTAACCGTGACGCGATCCGTTATCTGGGATCTGCTTTTTCGGCCCCGATGGCGAGCTGGCTCGACGAGCTCGGTCTGACCGCCGCCCGAGAGGCCCGACTTTAGGGGGCTGGTGAGAGCCCCCACCGTTGCGCCCTCACCTCACGCTGACATATCCTTTGGGAATGCCCATGGACTCTAGGGACCTGGGGGCAGCTTTGCCCGCGGGTGCCATGCTAGGCTATGGTAGGGGAGGTCGTCTGTACTGCTACGCATATGTAGTCGCCCAGAATGCACAGATCGGCCATGTTGCGCCCGCGATCCATAGTGAGTCGGCCAGACGTCGCGTATTTCGGTGTCGTGCCCGAGCCAAGTGGCGCCTGAGGGAGCTACAAATGTCTTGCGTATTACGAATCTGTCTTCTGCATCCACCTTCGGCCGATCGGCGTGTCACCTTACTCGACAGCGGCTGCCTTGCGAAGTTCCAAGAGCTCCATGTGCGAGCTGACCCCGCCCCTCGCACGGCACTCTTCACCGCCCTCTCCCCAAGCGTGCTCGCGCTCCACCGCGCTCTACCACAGCGCGCCGAAGCCTTGCAGCGGGCCACCAGCGTCGCCGCCCTCGCCGCAGCCACCGCCGACGAACACACCACTGCCCACCGCCGCTGCGCCTCTCGCGTGGGCGGGCATCACAGCTGCGCCCTCTCTACCATGCTCTCTCCACCACGTGCTCTCTCCTCCGTGCGCCAAAGTCCTTGCGATATACGCAAGGGCCACAAGCGCCGACACCGCCGCGCCTTGCTGTGCTCTCCGCCCACGCTCTCTTCCCCACCCGCGCTCTCTCCTCCGCGGCGCAGGGTCCTTGCAACCACCAGAGCCACGCAGCAAACGCGCCTCTTTGCGCGCCGCGTCCTGCGCACATCACTGCTCGTGTCGGCGCTGCGGCCGTCGTTCCAGCTCGCGTCCGAGGGCGTCAACAAGTGGCGCAGCCGCGTGCGCGCGGAGATGCCCATCCCGTCCATCACAGAGGCGGTGCGGCAGGCGCTCGCATCGCCGTCGGCCTGTGTGCCGGACGGCGCGGCGACCATCTCAGTGACCAACAAGCACCACGCGAAGCTGCGCAGCCAGCAGTTTGCGCGCCTCCGCGACCAGCCCTGCTTCATGAGCCGCGTCGTCTCGGTGTGCTACAACAATGTGACCGATGGGGCCGGCGTGTGCGTCCGGTCCAGCTTTGCGCTGCCGCCGTCCGACTTTCGGCGCAGCAACTACGCCAACCTGATCTGGGCAAAGTGGCGCATCCTCGCGGACGCGCTTGCCGCCGCCCGCGTGGTGCTCTGGCTCGACGCTGACGTGCTCATCCTGCGCAACCCGTGGGACGCCCTGCGGAGCTCCACCGAGGTTGGCGCTCGCCTGTACGCCATCCGATACCAGGCGGAGGAGCAGCCCTGCATGGCGACGTCGTACGAGGGCGCGCGGCTCGCGTGCACCCGCCTCAACGGCGGTCAGCTGCTCGTGAGCAGTCGCAGCCTCGCGAGCGACGTCTACGCCCTGCGCCCCGCCAACCTGAGCAACATGGACGCCCTCGACCAGGACTATGCGGACACGGTCGTGCAGAACCGCAGCTACTCGCGCTGCGCGCTGGGGCCGGCGTTTGCCGCCGCCTGCTGGCGCAAGAGGATTCCCGCGTCGGCGCGCGAGGCGTGCGGCTTTGTGACGTACCACACCAACTGCATCACCAACATGCGCGACAAGCTCCACGCGATGAAGCGGGTGCTCGAGGTCACGCGGGGCTGCGGGAATGCGACCGGCGCGGCCGCCGCCAATGGCTCGGCAGCTTACGCTGCCGGCAGCAGCAGCAGCCTGCACACAAGAGGCCAGCTCTTGCAAAGGTGATACGCTGCGGTGCGGTTGATGGCTCGGGGCGGGGGCACCGGGGGCCGCCGGGCGGGCGCCGGAGCGTGGATGGCGCCGCGGCCCATTGGCCGCGGCCCGCGCACGGCCGCGCGCCGGCCCTCGCCCTGCCGCGGCGTGACACGCGCACGGACTTTGAATCTTTGTGCGTGTGTCTAGCGGTGGGCCGCTTGAGGAATTGTCAGATTATACAAACCGCTACTCACTTCTTTCCCTTGCCGCCGGCCGCGGCGGGCGCCACATAGCCCTCCGGAGGCGTCCACAGCATCTCGGGGCTGACCGTACCATCCTCGCCCTGGACGACCTTGGCGAGGATGTAGGTGCCCTTGGGCGCCAGCGCCTCCGTCGCCGACGTGCATCCCATCGTGTGCAGCTCGATCAGCGACGAGTCCTCCGTCTGCAGCACGAGCTGCTCCTCGACGTCGCTGTAGCCGCAGCGCTCCTTGACGTGGTCGATGAGCACGTTCGCCCAGCAATCCATGTTGAAGAGCTCGGCCTGGTCATCGCCATACTTGACGGTGAACCAGTGCGGGCCCGCCGCCATCGGGAAGAAGACGCGAGAGGGCGGCGAGAGAGGCCGAAGCAACGCACAGCCAGGGCTGCCGGCGACGACGGACGGTGAGAGGCCAGGAGCTACTTTACCGTGCAACTTTACCGGCCGCGATGACTACGGGTTAAGGTGGCGGCCTGCTCTGCAGGGGGAGGCGGAGACCTGTCCGTCGCGTCGCGGGCAGTCGAGTGTACGGTTACGGTACGCGCGAGATAAGCAATGACACACACACACACACACGAGGCCACGATACACACACCGTTAGCCTGGTAAGGGCCTCTTAGGAAGCTCTCATCGGCCGCGTCACTGACACACACTCCAAGCGCCAGCGGCACGCGTCAGGCTGGCGCGAGCTGCGCCTCAGGGCGCGAGCCAGGAGCTGCCTCGCTCGTGCGGAGCGCAAAGACCTGCGCGCCGCAGCCGACGGCGACGACGAGCGCCGCTGCGCCAGTCTCACTAGGCGAGCCGCCAGCACGGCCCTCGTCGTCGCGCGGCTGGCACACGGCGAGCGCGCTCGTGTGCTGCACCGAGACCATGCAGCTCGCTGCCAGATCAAGCGCCCGCGATGCCCACCGGCTAGACGCCGCGCCGCCGTCGTCGCCTCCGTCGTCGTCCTCGCCCTCGTCGTCGCGCCCCTCGCGCGGCGCACGGCCGCAGCTCGGCAGCCGCACGCGCCAAGCGTTGAGCCGCTGGTCGTGCGCCGTCGAGAAGACAGCACCACGATGGCGGACACCGACTTCTCGAAGGCCAGGGTGGAGAACAGCGATTGGCGAGGCGCTAGCTTCAAGGGCGCGTGCAACTTTTCGGACACGGCAATCCGCCAGCGCATCTCTTTGGCGGAGCTCAAGGCTGGCGGGCTGGTGCAGGGGCTAAAGACCACGGGCTACTCGCTCGAGGAGATAAAGGCGGCGGGCTACTCGCCCGAGGGGTTCAAGGCGGCGGGCTACTCGCTCGAGGAGATGAAGGCGGTGGCCTACTCGCTCAAGGAGATGAAGGCGGCGGGCTACTCGTGCAGTGAGGTCAAGGCGGCGGGCTACTCACTCGAGGAGATAAAGGCGGCGGGCTACTCGTGCAGCGACGCAAAGGCGGCGGGCTACTCGTGCAGAGAGGCGAAGGCGGCGGCCTACTCGCTCAAGGAGATGAAGGCGGCGGGCTTCTCGTGCAGTGAGGTCAAGGCGGCGGGCGCCACGCCTCTGGAGTGCCGCGAGGCTGGCTACTCTCACGAGGAAGGCCGCGCGGCCGGCTTCCCCTATGATTCGAACTGCTGGAGCAATTATCTGTCGGTTAACAATCGGTGGAGATAAATGTGTGTGCGTGAAAATTTCTTTTTCCTGGAGCTTTGTTGTAAATTTCTTTTTCCCCACCGTAGCCATCTTGACCCTCGCGAGCACCCGCACCCGCTGCTGCGCCTCGGCCAGGGCTGCGCGGCACACCTCGGTCCCGTCCTTCATGTCTCCCCAGCGTGATTGATGGCGTCACTCGCGCCCGGCGCCCGGAACTTGGCGACGGCTTCGCTCGCGGGGCTGCCGCGGCCTCGGGGGTGGAGAGGCACCGCAGCGGCCATCCCCCAAGGCCAAAAAAGAAAAAGCCTGCCGGTCGTGCGTGCGTCCCTCCTCCTGAAAGGAGTGCCGGCGGTGCCAGCTCGGAAGCCGACGCCTCGCGCTCTAACGGCCCAGCCAGCTCGGCAGGCCGACGCCTCGCGCTGGCTGTGCAGGCCGACGCCTCGCGCTCGTACCGGCCAAGCTGCCAGCAGGTGCGCGCCGTGGAGGGAACATACCGCCGATGTCCGAGCCTCCGAGCCTCCGCACCTCTCTCGTCGCCGACGCCGAGCTCCCGTCCGTGCCCTCTGAGTCCAGCCTCCCGGACGGGAGCAGAGCGATGAGGCGCTCTTCCTGGAAGGTGGCGGTCGACGTTCCGCCCGAGGCGCCTCCGGCCACCAGGCCGCCCGAGCAGAAGAAGTGGCAGGCGGCGGCGACAGGGCAGCACGGCGCGGCGCCTTCGTGGAGGCAGTTCCTCTCCCTCTGCCTCGGCGCGACCGGAGTCGTCTTTGGCGACATCGGGACCAGTCCGCTCTACACCTTTGGCGGCATCTACCTCGAGCTCGGCATCGACGCGCTCGCCGCTGCGGACCAGCAGACGCGCGAGGACGAGCTGACGGGCATCTTCTCCTCCATCTTTTGGGTGATTGCGGTCGTCGTCTGCTTCAAGTATGGCGTCATCGTCATGCAAATCGACCACAACGGCGAGGGCACGGCGCTCTGGCCGTGGCGGATGCACGTGCTCGAACAGCTCCTGTTTTGGTGTTTGTAGGCGAGGGCGGCTCGCTCGCGCTGATGCAGGTGGTGCTGCGCGCCGTCGGCACAAGGGCGGCCGAGCCGCGGCTGGTCGGCTTCACCGCGGCCCTCGGCATGATTGGCACCTCGCTGCTCATTGGCGACGGCGCCATCACGCCGGTGATGAGCGTGCTCGGCGCCATCGAGGGGCTCCCGATCGAGAGCGACGCGGTGCTCGCCTGGCTCTGCGTCGCGATCCTCGTCGTGCTCTTTGGCGTGCAGAGCTTTGGCTCCAAGGCGATCGGCCTCGTGTACGGCCCAATCATGAGCCTCTGGTTCCTCGTCATCTGTGCCCTCGGCGTGTACAACACGTGCCGCTACTCGGCAGAGGCGGCCATCGTCGCGCGCGGCTTCAACCCGTACTGGCTCTGGCACTACTGGTTCTCGGGCACGTGCAGAGGGTACGAGGCCTGGAAGTCGCTCGCGGGCATCGTGCTGACGGTGACGGGCGCCGAGGCGCTGTACGCCGACATGGGGCACTTTGGCCGGCGCCCAATCATGACGGCGTGGTTCGCGCTCGTCTTTCCCTCGCTCGTCCTGCAGTACATTGGGCAGGCGGCCGCGCTGCTGAGGAGGCCAGAGCTGCTCGCCGACTCCGCGGGCACCTTTTACGGCTCGGCGCCAGCGAGCCTGCGCTACCCGCTCCTCGCGCTCGCGATCCTCGCCGCGGTCATCGCCTCGCAGGCGCTCCTCTCGGGCGTCTTCTCGGTGCTCTCTCAGGCGGTGCAGGCCGGCTTCATGCCGCGGACCAAGGTAGTGCACACCGACGACAAAAACAAGGGGCAGGTGTTCATCCAATCGGCAAACTTGCTGCTGCTCGCGCTCTGCATCGTACTCGCGCTCGCCTTCAAGACGTCCGCCGCCCTCGCGGGCGCCTACGGGATCGCCGTCACCACCACCTTTGTCGCCACGACGGTGCTGCTCTACCTGGTGCTGCGCCGCGCGTGGAAGTGGTGTGCCGGCTCCGCGCTGCTCGTGTGCCTCCCGCTCCTCGTCGTCGACGGGCTGCTCTGGTCGTCCAACCTGCTCAAGATTGCAAACTCGGGGTGGGTGCCGATCGTCATCGCGCTGGCCGTCTTTGGCGTGCTGAGCACGTACAACTGGGGGCGCGAGGAGGAGGCGGCGCTGCTCCTCGCCGAGTGCGACGCCGAGGAGGGCGCGGCGTCCTCCGACATCACGAGCAGCCTGAGAATCCCCGCGCTCGAGGCGGCGGTCCGGGCGTGCGGCTACCCCCGCACCAGGGCCGTCGGCATCTACCTGACGCCGTACGACTGGCGCGTGCCTCGCTCGCTCGGCACGCTGGCCGACGCGTGCGGCTCGCTCCCGGGCACCATCGTCCTGCTGAACGTCCGTTTCGAGGACGTTCCCTTTGTCCCCGCCGAGGAGCGGGTCGACCTGGCCGTCATCAGCGACGAGCTCGGTCTGTACCAGGCGTCGGTGCGCTTTGGCTACGCCGAGCCCCTCAACGCGGCGCAGGGCCTGCACGCGACCCTGGTGGCGGCCAAGCAGCCAAAGCTCTCGGCGCTCCTCGCCGCCCACGCGCGCCTGCCGACCAGGGCGTCGGCGCAGGTGGCCGCGCCCAGCGTGCACTACATTCTCAACCGGCTGCACCACATCGTCCGCCCAGAGCACGGCCCGCTCTGCCGGCTGCGCGTCTCGCTCTACAAGTGGCTCAAGCAGAACGAGTGCCCGGCCGTCGCCTTCTTCGGACTGGAGGACAACCGGACGCTGGAGGTGTGCAGCGTGCGCAGTCTGTGAGGGCGGCGGGGCAGGGTCGCGTGGTGGGAGATAATATTTATTTTACCGTTTCAGTTTGACGTGGCGATTGCCGTACGCGTCCTCCTCGCGCGGCACGTCGACCGCGCAGCCGCTCGTCTCGCGCAGGTGCCGCAAGCCGCTGCCTTTGCTGCCGACGACGGCGCCGATGCAGGTCGCCGGGACCGGCTCCGCGTGGGTGATCGAGGCGGCGGCGGCGGCGGCATCGTTGACGCCGTACATGGGTGGAGGACGCCGGGACGCCGCCGGCAGGGCTGCGGTGTCGACGAGCGGCTACTCAACGTGGGAAAGAGAAACACGAACGCTCACTACGTGCCTTAGGGGACCCCTAGGGTCCTGAGGGCCGGATTTTTTAAGACCTTTTAAGAAATGAGGAGGTTTGGGGGCTTAACTTGCCATTTAAGAGATTGCAGGCACGGGGGGTCCCTCTTTTAAGTCCGTTTAAGAAAATCGGCCTCGCCGGCACGCGTCGCTGGGTTCCGCGCCGTTTTCTTTAATACTGCCGTTATTCGGCTCTGAAGACACATCTGTAAGTCTGGTGCACTGGCAGGAGCCATACTCGCATAGGGGACGTGCCAGCTGACTGTAGCCAGCTTCCCGGCCTCCGGCGTGTCTACCGGGAGCCTCCCGGACCATCGACCTCGGGAGCTCTCCCGCACCGTTTAAGCGTTTAAGACCGTTTAAGGAATTGGCGGCCCAGCAGCTCTTAAAACTTGCCATGGCAAGTTTTAAGCCGTTTAAGCCGCAGGCGCCCCAGGGCCCACCCTTTTAAGCCTAGGGGTCCCCTAAGCTACGTGCCTCCCGGTCTTTCTAGCCTGGCGCGTTTGAAAGCCCGTTTGTGCCCCGTTTGTGCCGCGTCCCGTGCCCCCGAGTTCATTTATACCAAAAAAAGAGAAACACCTCGACTGCAATCGACTGCAATAAAAACCGGAGGCGGCGCCCCGGGGGCCTATATGGACCCCGTGGCGCCCGCGCTGCCGGCTAGCGGCGATGGGACGATTGCCGCCGCGGGGGGGGAGGAGGAGGTGGAGGGCGCCGCTGCCGCCGCCGAGGCGGGCCGCCGCGCTCCGAAGACCCTAATTGTTGCCGATCCTTCAGCGACGCGCCATACCGACACCGGGCACAGTTCGCAGCCATGTGTTGTTCTTTAGCTCTCATGCCCCTGTTTCCTAGGTGGGCGAGTCGCAGCGTGGACGAGGCGATCGAGACGCTCGCGAGCCCGGACGTGACCGTCACCAACCAGTCCGACAAGGAGCTGCAGCTGTACAAGCTGCGCGAGCTCGATGAGCTGGTGCAAGAAGCTGTGGCCCGGTGCGCTCGAGGAGACACCGTCATCGATGAGGAGGCATCGATGGTTAAGTGTAGTGAGCGTCGGGCTGGTGGTTCAACACCGAGTTTGAAGGGTCTGTTTCTCTAGGTCTCTTCACAGGAAAATCCTGTGAAGAAAAGCGGAGAAAAACAGAAACCTTTTCTGCCTCGGCCTTACGGCTTTAGTCGTCGGTACTCCGAAAGCGTGCTATCCAAGTAGCACGCAGCCGGGTCCCGAAGGTGTCCCATCCCAAATTCGTGCCGTCGACAGACCAGATTCGTGGTCCCTTGGTCGACTACACCCGCCTTTGGACGGTAGCCCGACACAATTCTCATTTGTCTGTCTTTTTGGATTGTGGGTTTCGGAGTTTCATTTGAGTGGGCGCTGATCCATGTTGATGCATGTCGCGGTCTGCTGACACAGCGGAGCCCGGCGAGCCGACGAGCTAGCTCCCTCGTCACACACGCGCACGGACGCATGGAGATACGCTGCGTGCCGGCACACACGCACGCACACACACACACACACACACACACACACACACACACACACATGCACGCACGCACACACACACACACCATGACGCGAGCCCGCTCCCACGCCCCCATGTGCATGTCGGCTTTCTCACGCCTCCAGACTCCGAGCGCCCGCCTTGGGTGCTCGGGCGGTTGGAGATGGCATGTCGGGGGGTGTCCCTGTGCATTCACTAGCGCTCGCTTGTTTGCGGGTGTCGGAGAGAGTTAGGAACTCGACACGTTGTTCGGTCGTTTTCGCAGTTCGCGCCTTCCACGGCCGGCGCGGTCCGTTCAGTTTCGATGTGTTCGGGCTGGGCCCCGCCGGCCGCCGGGTGTGCGTTCGTTCGAGTTCCCGGAGAGTTCACCGACACGGAATCTCGCCCTACGGAATCCGCGTGTGAACGCGATCGATATAGAGCGGAGAGGGGGGCTGTCGCGTCGCCCGCTCTCCTCGGATACTTCTTTTCTGTAAAGCCGTATTTTGTGTGCGATACACATGTGCATGTGCATGTGCATGTGCATGCATATTGCAATCCTGGAGAAAATCGAGTTTGTTCTTTGGACGCTCGCCCGCTACAGTGGCGCCAACAGTGGACCGAGCTCGCTGCCTCTCACCACGGCTTTACGCCCTGAGTCCCCTGTACCGCCCCATGCCCAGACAGCCGCGCGTAATCGTTGCCCCTTGATCGATAGGCGATTCTCTTACGCCCCCTTCATTGACGCCGGTGCGAGGAGCGTGCCGCCGTTGGCCATCGGCGCATGCAGCAGCGCGACCCGCAGGCCGCTGGTCGGCGTAGCCGTCGGCAAGTACAGGGTCGCGCACTGCTTCTTGTCCAGGCGGGCGGGCGCCGAGTGTAGGAGCGCCGCGACGCTGGAGCCGTGGGTGTCGCTGGCGATGCCGAGAGTCGCCCTGAGCGTGCCGGACTCCTGCGCGCGCCCCTCCTCGACAAACTCCGTCGCCCACCGCACGCGCGGCCGCGCGGGATCCGCCGCGTCCAGGAGGTAGGTGAGGCCAGCCTGCTTCGTATGGCCATCGTAAAGCCATCCGGGGCGCAGGGTGATGCGAAGTCTGCTTTGCGGACCGAGGTGAATCTCCATCTCGATGGCGACGTTGTAGCGGAACTCCGCCTTTCGATGCTCGTTCAGCGTCTCCAGGTGCGAGGAGAGGCAGCGGAGTACGGCGGGAGGCAGCTCGATGGCCACGTGGCTGCGCTCGTGCGCTGCCGGCAGCACCGGAGGGGCGCGCGGCGCGGCGCGCGCGTTGAGCCAGCCGGCTTGCTTGTGCCGCAAGCCGTCCTCGAGCATGGGCGACGTCACGGCGATGCGCGTGAGCAGGCGCTGCGCGATGAGCTGGGCGACGTCCGCGCCGAGGGCACGCTCGCGGCAGACCCATGCGACGAGGAGCAGCGAGGATGTGGGCGGGCGGAAGACGTTGACGACGCGTTGCACCACCTGCGGCGCCGCGTCGTGGGCAGCCGCGTCGCCGTCGCCCGCGGGAGGCTCCCGCATCTCCCGGTGGAGGGTAAGCAGCGAGAAGCAGTGGACGTCGTCGCCCGTCGCCTTGGGCCGCTTGGCCTCGTGGAAGCCGTCGGCAAGGAAGACCCACATCGGCGAGCCGCGCTCGCTCAGCGGCAGGTGCTCGAGGGCGCCGCCCGCGTGAGCGGTGCGTGCGTACACGTGGACGGCGCTCGCAGGAAAGTGGACGGCGGCGGGGAGCAAATGGCTGCCGCCCCCCTGCTCAACAGGCCGGCCGAGCAGCTGCTGCAGGGTGACCGTGTCTGTTGCGCGGTCGTGCACGAGGCCGAGCCGAGGCATCGACCATGAGTCATCGAGCCCGCTCAACACAGGGTGCGAGTCGGCGAGCGCGTCGATGGCGTCGACGACGGGCCGCGTGAGCAGCACGCATGCCATCACGCCCATCCCCGGCTCGCCGACAGCCTCGCGCTCGCGCCGCTCGAGATCGGCGAGCATCGCACGCACGAAGGCGAGCGTCCACGACGAGCCTCCCACTCCACCCGAGCCGGTCGCGGGCGCCGCCGGTAGCTTGGGCGGACTGTGCCACTTGAGGCCCTTGAGCGCTTCAATGCCGAGCGTCTCGAGCGCCCCCGTGTAGCGCACGTTGGGGTAGGTGCCCGTCGCCCAGCGGACCACGAAGCCGTCGCCGTCGGCAGTCTCGGGGATGGCGAGGACCTTGCCCGCCTCGATGCGCGAGGGCGTGCCACGGAAGACGCGCAGGCCGACGCGCACGCCCGAGGCGTGCTTCTCGCCGGCGTGCTGCGCCTGGCGCGCCTCGAAGAGCAGCTTGGCGTCAGACTCGCCGGACGGTGCGGCCTCCACCACCGTGTTTGCACTTGAGCTGCCCGCGGCGATCGTGCTGCTTACGGCAGCCGCCGCGGTTGCGGCAGCCGCGGTGGCGGCCTCCGGCAGCGCGGCGAAGGCTTCTGCCGCCCGCTGACGCAGCCACGACATGGAGCCACCACCGCCACCTGTTCCGTGGGAGACGCTCCGCATCATGATGTCAACGAGCGTCTCGTTGGACAGAACCGAGAGCTGCTCCTTGAGCGCCTGGGCCTGCAACGAAGCCTTGCGCAGTTTCTTGCTGTCTTCGACAGCACTTGTTGAGGGCGCCGAGGGCGGTTCGTCGACAGAAGAGAGGAAGTCCATGTGGGAGGCGCCCCAGGGCAAACCCCCGCAACAGCGGCCGCCCCGCGCGCGTAACGCGGGGTGGCGAGCAACCACGGTTTTCTTTTTCACGCCATTGCGGCGGAAGTTATGTTTATAGTACGACTACAAGAGGGGGACGAACCTGCGTGAATCCGCGCTCATTCTCTGTTTTGTGTGCGCTGGTTGATGTCCTCGAGCTCAATCCAGCGGCGCTGCTGGCGCGCTCGAACTCGCGGATGCCGTAATCCGCCGGAAAACAGCTCACGAACAGGGAGTGTACGGTCAGACATACCAAACACCCTCCGCAGGCGGAACCCTTGCGGCGGCGGACGTCGCGGGACGGAACGTATCGCAATGGTTCTCAGTGCATTCGCGTGCGGCGCAGGTCAAACGCTCTTCAAACTGTACGCTAGGCGATCGCAGACGCGGAGAGAGGAGCACACGAGCGACAGGACCTCCTCAGCAGGGCACATGAAGCTGCGATTGCGCGGGGGAGGTGAACAGCCCCAGTTTCAGACTCCGCTGGAGGTTGGCGCGACCACATTGTTGCTATCGAGGGTGCTATTGTCAAGGCAATCAAAGACGCCGTGATTGCCTTCTTCAGCCTGCCCGTCCCCTTTATCGCGATGAGAGTCTACTTCTTCCTGCACGGGGTCGTGCTTGACGTATATCTTCTAAACATCCTGCCTCTGTTTGACGAAGAGACGTCAGACAGTAAACGCGCGGATATGACACCCTGGGCCTTTGGAGGCTACCACCCAACGATGCCGCCAATTCCAAACCTCGCGCCTGCACATCGAAGATTCATGGCGGAAAATCTGATGTATGCGCTCGCGCGGGCAGCTCCATTCTTCTTCTACACGAGCGTGCCTGCAATGGCCGTCTGCGTTGGTTCGCACACCGTCGAGGCCATCACGAGCGTGGGAAGTACGTAGATTCGAGGGCCCGCCCAGCTGCCTGGTCGCGCAAACCTTGATGGCCGTCTGCTCGACGGGTGTCTTCCTCACAACCTACCACAACCCTGGGCGCGTCATACCTGGACCTGGGACGCCTGGGCCCTTCTTCTTTATGGCGAGCTGCGTCGGACTCAACTGGCTGCTCTGGCTCTCGACGTTGGGAATCTTGGCCTCGCGCTGGCAAGCAGGCGAGCAGCCTGCATCGCCGCCGTCGTCGAAGAAGAAGTAGCGAAGCCGCGCGCTTCACCGAGGATGCTACTTTACCACTCCACGGCTCTTCCCTAGCTCCGTGATCTAGATCGCGCTGCCCGTCAGTATTTTTTATAATACCAAAAGGAGGGCTACACGAGGCCCTCTACGCTGGGGCGTCAGTATTTTTTTGCGGTGTGGTTGTGGGGCCTGAGTTTCAAGCTTTTTCCATGCGGGCACTGATTTGTTCTATCTCCCCCTGTACGCGCGCTACGCCTACACAGTACGGCGTAATACATATCCTAGACTAGGTCCAACACATGGCGGGTGGTCCTGAACAGCAGTCAGTCGCACCGCAGTGCCTAAGAGCTAGGGCTGCCTTTTTCGTCGCCCCCAGCAGCAGCAGCAGGCCCTTCGCCCCCCAGCAGCAGCAGCAGCAGGCCCTACGGGGGTCTTAGCCGTCTTTTTCCAGCAAACACACCCGGTCGTTGCCGTGATGATAGCTACGACAATTCCGCAAATTCCGCCGATGACTTCTTTGATGACTGAGTTGTCGCCCTGATCGTCAGGAGACTAAGCTGGCGGGGGGGGCGGCCGCGGCGGGGGCGACGGTGGCGACGGCGGCGGTGGAGGTATTTTCGATGACATCTCCTCTATTCACGCCGTTTTTACCCATCTCACAGTACAACTGTAGAGAGGTGTCCGTTTTTATTTATTTATTTGATAGACGGGGTATTTTCAATTTCAATATTTTCCATCGAGTTGCGTCTGCATGCCCCAGCCAGCCAACACCGGAGCTCGGCTGCCCAAAACGGCTGTGAACGCCGAAGTCGTAGTCACGGCAGCTTGGTCGAGACAGTGCGGGCTCTGCACTTTCACGCTCTTCGAGCGACACACGCTTTCGCGCTCGGCCACCCATGCCGTCACGGCAGTGGCACCAGCTCGATGCGGGGCCATCTTATGCGATTCCGCTGTCCGAGGACGCGCCGGCTCTGGCCGCCGGCGTCACCAACGTTGGTCCGCCGTCCGAGCCGCCTGCCACCATAAGAATGGCTGGCGGCTCGGAGCGGCGGGCCTCGCCGGTTCAATCTCCGCTGGCGACGCACGACCTCTCCATTCGCGGGCACACGCCTGCCCGCTCCGCCTCCCTCGCAATCCGCCGCCGCCACGTCGCGCTCCCGATCGCGCTCACCGGCCGCCGCCGCCGCCTCGGCTGCAGGAGCAGGACCGAGGCCGGCTCATCGTCGGAGTCGGGACCGAACAGCCCGTCGACCATCGGCAGCCTCTCGCCGGACGTGGTCTTGGGCACTCTCAGCATCCGCGAGACGGCGCTCGGCGGCCAAGCTGCCTCTTCCCTGCCAGCGCCTCGGAGGCCCCGCCTCTCACCTTCTCCTCCCCCCACAGCCTCCTCTGCCGTCGATGTCATTGGGCATATGCTCCTAGTGCCAGGTTCCGCATCTTGCCAGCGCAGAGTTAATGCGCGATTAACCTATCCATATGTCCACAGACTCCTGTGAAGCTCGAGAGACCTATTGCCGAACGGGCCGAGAACTCTCGCCTGACGACCACCGCGCATCATTT